AAACACCCCCCCCCCCAGGCTTGGATTTCTTTGAACCCCGTAAAAATATTGTGCATGGGATGATCACCCCTGTGGCTGCACCCCCTCCACTGCCTACTCTGAGACGGACCCATTTACCGTGACTGATGGAATATTAGACATTCATTGTGAAAAGTCACAGCAGGTTCCTGATGTTTCACAAAGTTGTGATGGCTCAGTCCTTCAGGTGTGGCTACGCAGCAGGAAAAAAATACAGGCTGATCGGCTGTGATTTGCATCCATGGAAACCAGGCTTCCCTGGGTGAATTTGTTAGAGTCAGCAGACTCTACACTGAGCTCCAAGAGCAGAAGATGCCTAAACAAGGTGCTCTTGGCAATTTCTACCTTTCTCTCTCTCTCTCACTCACTCAGATCAACCAATCACACTGGCAGAAATTGGACAGGGAGCCAAAGAGGTCTGGGTAACTATGGATCAGGGACAGGCTCGTTTATGATGGCCTGTGTGTCATGTAGTCACCAAGAAAAGGAGAAAACCAGCCCATCCCCAAACCGGACCAGACCGAATGGTGGGATAAATCCCTGTCTAGTCATACCCTCTGTCTAGATCCATCCTTTCTTGTAGTTTAGTATATTTTTTAAAAGTCTAGTCGCTCATTGAAGCAGTCGCCATAGCTAAATCTCCCAAAGAAAATTTTTTTAAAAAAATTAAGGAACTTCTTTTTAGTCGTGTTTCTACCTGTATGCTATATCTTTTGTAGCATTAATAGATCTTAATGACTGTTTCAAGACCCCAACACCTCAAAACAAGAGAGTTAACCATTTAGTTAACTGTTAGAGAGCCCTAACATCTAATTTGATTAAGTTTAAATTGGAGGGAGCGTACATTTTTAACTGTACAGTTGATGCTAAATTGACATTTATATTAGATTACTACAATAAAAGATCTAAAAAAAGTACAAGACTCCCATCCATTACTGTATTTTACTCTCCCATTCCTCTTTGGAGATTTTTTTAAAAAGGAAACAAACATGTGCATTTAAAAAAAAAAGTCCCCTAGACCTCACTCTTGCATCCCCTCCCATTGTACAAAAGGGAATTTTACAGTCATAATCATTAACACAAAACTATACTGAATTACTTCCCATTATAAAAAAGAAAGAAAGAAAGAAAGAAATTATACTGAATTACTTCCCATTATAAAAAAAGAAAGAAAAAAATAAGGGTAATTAAGATGAGTAAATCAGTTCATTCATAACTGTTACAAAGTTGGTCTCTTCTAGGGGTGAAGTTATCATAGCTGGTAGAAAAGGAAATCGTATATCACCTTCTGTGGCCAGATCCGCATTTTCTTCTTTCAGCAAGTAAACCCATGACCTGGGTACACACTGGCCTGTCTTCCTAGAGGAAAGAGTGGAGAAAATATTATTAAGTACATGGGACAAATGCAGGAAGTAGAATTCTGAGACAGGGTTGGTGATACAAATGACATGTGAGATCCGTATCCAAATTTCAAAATATATTTACTAGAACACTATCATCAACCTGCAAGCTTTCCAGCTCAATTCAGCTCAATTCTTCATCAGGCTAGGCACTGCAGAGCTGGTGGGTTGGTTGGGTTGTGTGTCAAAAAAAGTGCAAAACCTATTCTGAGGTGATGTCAAAGCCTCAGGATCTGAATCAAACGTTCTAATAAAGTGGTTGAACAATTATAAAATCAGTTTGAAGTGCATTGATAGTATTGGGTTTCGCCACAAAAGGTGGATCCTCTACTCTTAATTCTCCATCTCTATAAACAAGGTTCGTGCCAAGCACTTAAAAAAAATAGTCTCTATTAATTTGTTTAAAACCCTCTTGATCTGTCAGAGGCGAAATTTTAACCAGAAATTCAGAACTCTGCAACACAAACTCAGGATAGGAGGGAAAAAAGGAAAAAGTGCTTCAAGGCGGAGGCCAGGAGGACTTACAGTCGGAGGGCAGCTTGAAGTTGCAGCCGTTCGTGGCTGTTGCTCTGAGTCATTCTGAACAGGGTGCTGTCAATGCCGGTGAAAGGTGCCAGCGAGGAAGTGGATGATGAGGCAGCAGCTATGAAGAACCATCTCCCAAGATACTGCAAAAAGCAAGCGGGATTACTCTTAGATTAAAGCGGCCTCTCACATAGGGATGTGTCTTTTTAGAATTTAGGGGTCCTGCTTTTCAATATTTATTGATTTATTGATTGATTGATTGATTGATTGATTGATTGATTGATTGATTGATTGATTGATTGATTGATTGCATTTATTTATTGCATTTATATGCCACCCATCTAGACATGGTCTACTCTCTTGCCAGAGCCTCTGTATTCGGGCGGCCCGTATTTAGAACCTCACTGGGCACAAGATTGCCCGACGGAGGCAGCAGCAGCGGAAGTGGGTAGAGATGGGTGTGGAAACGACTAAGCATGTTTCTAGCTCTTCATGGCTGAAAATGTAATCCCTGGTGGATTTGTTAATATGAAGGGGTGTGTCAATACAGGTGAAACAAATAGAGACTGTGAGAGCCAGTGCGGCGTGGTTATGAAGCGCGTACTACGAGTGGGACTTGGAATAAGCTGGCTCAGCTTCCCATGGAGTCCTAAAACTCATCGGGTGACTTGGACTAGTGTGAAGGTGTGGTGGAAAAGAGTGAGCCCTCCGCGAAAGGCCAAATGAATATCAAAGGAAAAGAAGGGGAACATCAGGATGACAGTGGGAGTGGCGATAGAAAAGGAGAGGGTTTTGACAGTGGAGGAAAAGGCGGGAAAACTGGAGGTATGCCTGGCTGATGGGGAGTGGGAGGAGCAAGAGGTGACACTTTTGGAGGAGTATAAGAACGAGGAGGGGGTGGTTTGGTTCAGTACGGTGGTAGAGGAGTATGAGAGGAAAAAGAGGGAAGAAAGAAAGAAAAGCTTTCAAAAGAGTGCAACGACAAGGGCTTATAAGAGACTTCCCTAACTTAAAAGTCGGAGGACTGTTCCCAGATCCCACAGCCGAAGAGGAGAGACCAAGGCATGCGGTGGCTCATGAGTGGACGGTCATCGTGGCTCCGAGAGGAAAGAAAGAAAGCTTTCGGAAGAGTGCGATGACAAGGGCTTATAAGAGACTTCCCTAACTTAAAAGTCAGAGGACTGTTCCCAGATCCCACAGCCAAAGAGGAGAGACCGAGGCGTGCGGTGGCTCATGAGTGGACCGTCATCGTGGCTCCGAGAGAGGCTGAGCTACAGCGGGAACGAGAGAATTTGACAGCTCCCTTCCCTGAGGGACCAGACGAGAGGGGGTGGATAAGGCACTCATGTTGTGGGACAATCTGTGGGACGATGAGGAGCCTCCCACCCCCACGCTCGGAGCTCCAGGAATGACATGGGGAAATGCACCGTTAAGTCCTTGGGACTATAACAAAAGTTCAGTTGATGTTAAATAATGGCCTGTCGCCACGGTTGGAACCAACGTTGTCTTCAAGTAATGTGCTGGTGGATGTGGGAGACAATAAAATTAAAGATGTTAAAGTTGTAAAGACTTGGCCTCGGCTGTTTCCCGCCAAAATGGAAGGGTCGCCCTGGGGGGGGGGAGGCAGCGAACCTCCTCACAACTAGTCAACTAGCTTTCAGCCTGACCCACCTCACAGGGTTGTCGTTGTGAGGATAAAGTGATGGGGAGGAAAAAGAGCCGCCAAAGCTGCCTTGAGCTTGTGGGAGGACATCAGTTACAGCGGAGACAAATAAAACCAATGTACAATAAATAGAATTAACCCCTCGCAAAGCTTATTTTCCCTTACATAACTTTAGTTGGATGGTCAGGATTGTTTTATACATCCATACCATTTCAAAATACACACATGAACACGCACAACATAGACGCCCAAACGTCTGTAAAAAAGGTGTCTGTTTCTACTGTTATTATTATGCCGGCAATATTATCCTCTTTCTCAGCAAGGGGGAATTGAGGTCTGAATTCCTATAAATATCCAATAATGTCAGCATTTTTAAAGAGGAAGGCGCGGCTGAAGGACTAGAATGTTGAACATAAAAACATCATCCTGCAACTTTTTGTTGCAAGTTGCACTGACAGCTGCACGCAAGTCAAAAATTGGGCTATTAGAAACACAATTCTGGGTTGAGTAATACCATTATTGGGTTAAAGCCAGTGTGGTGTGGTGGATAGGAAGTTATCCTGGGACTCCAGGAGGCTTGGGTTCAAATCCCCACTTGACTATGAAAACTCACTGGGGGGTGGGGTCGCCGTGATAAGCCATACTTTGAACATTTCACATCCCTTGAAGAATTATGTTAGGGTCACCTAAAGTTGTAAGCAATTTGATAACACAAAAGAACAACACAAAAATGTACTTGTGTGGCAAGTTTTCACATAATTCAGAACTCTGCTTCAGACTTGGATGGTATACAATTAGGGGGAAGGTGAAGGTGCAATAAGACCTGAAAATCAGACCAGATGGAATGGCCACTATGTAGATTGGAAATAGATGACAATTTTGAATTACTATTATATGGGAAGGTGAAGGTGCAAAAAGACCTGAAAATCAGACCAGTTGGAATGGCCACTATTTTTTAAGATAGACTGCTTACAAGATGTAGATTGGACATAGATGACAATTTTGAATTACTATTATATGCTTAATTGTCTTTTGATATAGGCATTGATTTTGTTTTTAGTTCAGCTTGCTTTATCCATTTGTGAGCCAGCTTGGGTCCTTTCACCGTGAGAAAGGCAGCAGAGGAACGAAACAGATATAAATAAATCCAGTGTAAAACAAAGATGTCAATGTACATTTATGTACTGTACTCTCCTCTATCTGTAGACAAAAGCCTGGTTGTGATCCTCTGTGAGTCTGTTCATTTAGGAGGCAGAAAGGCCTTTTAATCTTTTATTTTGCCAACCTTTAAGACTGTATCTTGCTTCATATATTTTTGCTTCCTTCCCAACTCGGCTGATCCAGCAAGCTGGAAATCGTTTTCAGAAGAGGTAGCCAAATAACTGTGCCCTCTGGATAAAAGAATCCGATTCTTCTCATTCACTACCCTTGTTAATTGACTGACTGAGTGCCCAGATGCTTGTACTGTGCTATCGGCAGCAGGATGGAGAATGGTCAGTGTTAATAAGAGCAACAAAGAGCCTCACGGCACCTAAAGACTAATAAGATTTTATTCAGCATAAGCTTTCTCGGAGCGCAGCCCACTTGAGATGCACTTCTTTACCCTTAAAGATGTCATCCTGAATTTAATAATAATCTTAGATCTGCAGAGCAGGAAGGAACCCTATGGATCATCGAATCCACCCCTGTCCAGGAGACCAGTGGGGAAATCAAACCCCCAACCTCTGGCTTCACATCCAGATGCCTAAGCCAGTGAGCTATCCAGTAGTTCCTCCCTCCCTATCCACAAATCCCAGCCCCCCCCCCCAATTTGGCTTGCAGTAGGTAAGCAAGAAATTCTGGATAATCACTCCATACGTCCCACGAAAAAGGCTATACACAAAATACTGTACTAGAAGAAATGTACTAGTCTCTAAGATGCAACAGGATTCTTTGTTGTTTGAGGCGGTGCTTTCATAGGCTTCTTTTCCGCACGACAGCTCCCCACATCCCTCGGCTATCAAGACCCTTGGCCATGGTGACTGGCTTTGGGAATCTGAGATTTGTAGTCCAAAAAGGGAATTTGTTTTGAGCTGAAACATTTTGAGAAAGAGTGACAACACTGGCTTCCCAGCATGTTGTTGTTGTTTTGTGTTGTTAGGTTGCTATGGCAAGTTTATTAATGTCTTTAAGGTCTATGAGATGTTTATTACTGCCCCCACACCATTGAGTTTCCATGATTGGCTAGGGTAGTGGTTCCCAACCTTGGGTCCCCAGATGTTATTGGACCACAACTCCCAGAAATCCTAGCCAGCACAGCTAGCGGTGAAAACTTCTGGGAGTTTTAGTCCAAGAATATCTAAGGCTCCATGATTGGGAACCACTGGACCAAGGATTTGACCTCTTCTGGGTCCTAATCAGACGCTAGTCACCACACCCACCCACCCAGCTCCTTCCCAGCAGGTACCTGCAGTTATTAGCCCCACAGAAGCATCCTGGGTGGAAGGTTTTTTTTTTCATTACCTGGTCTCGGTTCAGCTCGCTGGCATGCAGCTTCACAGGACTGTCACACACAGAAAGGGCATCAACAAAGACCCCATAGAGGTAGAGAAGATAGTACCATGGGCCATCCATCATTGGGGCCACTGGGGAGATTTGCTCTTTGAATCAGCCTCTGCTCTACTTATAACCTGCAAAACTTACCTTTGCCCCTTGCTTGTTAAATGTTTAGCCTTCCGAGGTCTAGAGTCCACTTTGTTTTTTTTTTTAATGTGTGTGAAACTGAAATCCTGAAAGACTCTCTCAAGCAAAAGCAGGCATTGAGAACAAACACAGAGTTTAGTGAATCCATGGTTTTTTTTTTAATGTTGTCACTGGTGTGAAGTAGGGATTAGCCACCGATTTTTCTCCCCAGCTTACTTTGGCAGTTCCGTTAACCCTTTCCTTTGGATTTTCTGAAGCTGTGTGTGATTTGATCTGTGGAATGTCTGGATAGTTTAAATCAGTATGTGATTTAAACCTGAGTATAATTTCCTGTAAATATGACATAAAAAAGAAAACCAAACTACTTCAGACTGCAGTTCCCAAAATTCCTCAGCCAGCATGCCATTTCTGGAAATATAATCCAGATTACCAAAATTTTCATTCTTTTTCTGCCACTGTCACCTACTGCCCAGTCTAATTCTTCCCCATCTGAGGTAGCCTGGAGAGGTTACTCGTTTGGGTAACTACATGCTACAATGAGGGATTGTGATCATACTTTCCCTAGCTCTTCCAGTTGGTTTCCCAACATCCAAAGAAATCTCATCTCTTGGATCCCTTTTTTGCCCTCAGTGACATGCAATTCATCTACTTCAACTATGTGCGACATCTCCAAAGCCACAGTGCCTTTCTATTCATTTTAAAGGTGTGTGCACCATTTGCCAACATTCTGTTGCTGACAGCATCATCAAGTAGTGGCTGGATAGCTCAGTGAACTGGATACTTCAGAGATTGAAAGTTTGACTCCCCACTATATCTCCTGGCAGAGGAGCCAGCCTGTGTGGCCTTGGGCAAACTGCACAGTCCCAGGGTACACCTCCCCCGAAGAAAGGAAATGTAAAACACTTCTGAATTACTCTATACCTAGAAAATCTTGGGAAAGGGTCACTAAAAGCCAGAATTAACTCGATGGCATGTAATTATGATTACTCACCCTCAGCATTATTAGAGAAAAGATTTGTAGCTACAAAGGCCAACTTTGCCATCAAAATCCAATGGAGAAGCAATGACAAAAGATGCACAGAAACTGTACAATTATATAATAATTGCCAATTACCTGTTACTGTACTGTATTGGAATACAATATCAACAGATGAAGCAAGTGACCTGTGCTAGTGGGGATGAAGGAATGATCAGACAGATAAGCCTGGTGTTTTTCCGTTTTATCTTTTCCAGAGCTACATGTAGATGGATATTCCAAGGATTTCTATTTTATTCTAAGTTCACTTCCTGCTTCTTCTCCTTAGTTACAATCATGGCTATGTAGTTGGACTTGCACGCATGAACATGATTTTTAGGATTCTGTAAGCATGTTTGGTGTATTTTTCCCCCTCCTGTATATTTCTTGCCTCCCAAACGGATTTCCTAGAGAATAAATAGAAACTTCTAGTTTTGCCTTAACAGCATTTTCCAGAGTGCTTATTGCCTTCGAATACTACTTTCCATACTAGTTATTATTTCCAGTAGTTACAGGTTCTAACCTTATCTATCTATTTACTTATTTACTGCCCATCTGGTCTATGTGACCAGGCAAACACCTTGCCTCACCCTTTAGTCTGTAGAGTGGTCGGCAGAGTGGAGTGGCCACCCACCCATAAGCACTAGTCAGAATAGTGTGGGAGAAAGAAATCTCCAAAATGAAGCCTGAACTGGGGGGTTTGCAGGAGACTTCTCTTCCGCTCCTCAAATCAGCTCTCTCCCAGTTTTGAAGCAAATCAGTTCCAGGTGGGGAATGATCTCAGATTTCTCTCAGCTCTGGTGAATTGAAATAACTCTTGGACTCTCTTTGCAAACCCTACACCGTGCCACCACAAAAGGTGTTTTTGATTCTGTTAATCAACAGATTCACAGTTAGATTTTTGGCCGGGTTTAGCACTGTATATCATGTAGCTAACTGAAGACACTCATAAATTCTATAACAATATAAACATATCATTGTTAGGGATCTCCTAACCCCAGTTTGGATGTCTTCAACTGCATCCACTTTAACCTAAAGAGTTAAAGCCTATGATATTTTATTACAGCGCGAGGTTTTATTTAGACCGTAATAAATTAATTCCAACATATTTCTCTGTGCAATATGACATACTCAAATGATACACATTTATTAGACTTTAACCAGCCATGGGATTCTTCGCACGACGACTCTTTAAAAAAAATATACAGTATAGTCTATTCCTGAGGCGGTGGGGCTAATTCCCGTCAGGTTAATCAGTTGCTAGGATACGGAATACAGCAATTAAAGATGGAGCTGAAACAAACATGGCTGATCGAGCATCGCCTTGAGATAAAATGGCAGCCAGGTTAGCTTCACTGCAGACGACTTGACTTAAAAGTATGTATACGGCGAATAGGAAATCGGAATTCCTGTTTCCGCCTTTGCTTTCCAGACAGATTCCCTCCCACAGGACGTCAGGTACCGGGTGCGCAGGCGCGTAGGTAATTAAAGATGGAACTGAAACAAAAATGGCATCGCCTTGAGATAAAATGGCAGCCAGGTTAGCTTCACTGCAGACGACTTGACTTAAAAGTATGTATACGACCCTCCCACAGGAGGACGGGCGGTCTCCGTCAGGTACCGGGTGCGCAGGCGCGTAGGTACTAAACGCCCCTCCCCCAATCCCTCAGTTGTCATCCATTTCTGGTGCCTAATTGATGGTAAAATATGTATAACTGTGTATGAAGATTTTAAAAAATGAACCCAGAAAGCCCAAAGAGAAACAGCACAGATTGAGATACTATACGTTGTTAGAAATGAGCAGGCACTCATCTAGACAACTATGCAAGGAAAACGCCAGGGGAGGGCTTAGTTGCGGCTTCGCGCATGCGTCATAGCGAATAGCCGGGAACGAAGCAACAAAAGGCGGCGCGAGAAGTTCCGGGCCCAAGGCTGGCAGCGGTTCCGCCCCCTGAGTCCACTTTTACAGCCTCGTTGGCTTTGAGGGGAAGAGAAGAATTTCGGGGCAAAGAGACGAAGAATTGTTAATCGAGACAGCCCCTTCTGCTTGTTGCCAGCAGGAGGAAGCGGTAGCGCCGCCATTTTGAACGGAAACCGCGGTAGCCCGGATGTAAAGGCTGCGCCTCCCCCCCATAGAGCTCCCACGCGGATTAACCGTCCCCCCTGAATTTCCGTTTCGAAACTAAGCCTGAATTTGAATATCTGGGGGGGGTGCCAGCTGGCCCTCCTGTATCTCTCTTCACCTCTCGTTAGGCGGAAACCCTGACCTGTGCTGTACACTGGGCGTCTTAAGATTGGAGGTCGGAAGTGACGTGAGCCCTTTATCTTTGTGGCGCGTGCCCTCTGCCCTTTTGCGGGAGGGGCTACTTCCGGACGGGGGAGGGCGTTTGTTGACCGGAAGTGCTTGGTTCTTGAACGGAAGTCGGGGTTTTTGTGGCTGGAATTGGTGCCTCTTTCTCCCGGGAAGTCGGCAGAGGA